TTTTTTTAAATGGGCTGTCTTTAATTTCAACTACCGAACATAACTTTTTTTTCTATTCTTCACAACTACAGTAGCAGAAGTGTTAGGTAACTTGGGCAAAATTGCATTGCAGTCATTTTCATTATGACAACTCGTTTGTTTGCATATTTCTTTTCGCATAAAATGTCAGATGGGTTTCTGGTGTAATTGGTGGGAGAATGTAATTCGTACGAGAATCCCGTAATCAAAGTTAACTGCTTCTGCCCTGGTACATCCAATGAGAAAGCTGAAGAATTACTATTTTAGACAAGTTGATTATTAGGTGTAGCAAAAAGTTTTCGGCTGCTAGGAATGGTGCTTGCTTATCTTTAGCAATTTCGGATCATGGTGTATTTTTGTGTGTCTGATGTAACTGTCACTTTAATTCCACTTTAATGTATTGACGCACCTTTCACCGACGAGGGCGTTATTGCCTGATTGTGCGCTAATCAACTAAATGCCCTCTTACTCTCTTGTGATTTTTTTCCTATCAAAGCAAACGCTCATAATTCTCTTCAGTGGAATCGAATATCTGTGTTTCCCCAATTCCCAGTCGACTCGAAACCCATCACATCAAATGAAGGGCCGCAAATTTCCATTTTTTACCGTCCTTTTATTAGTATGGCAAACGATATGACAGAGGTTACTCAAGAAACCACCCAATTAGTTGCATGAGCCCCGTCGTTGATCGCTTTGCACCGAACTCAGTTCATGCCATTGTGGACTTCCGATGCAACAGAGAATCAGGTTTTTTGACGTACAATCCTGCCACAGTCCCATCGCATATAAAAACTTGTGGGGCCTACGAATATCCCACTAAGTCCCTACCTGTCATCACTTCTTTGTGTTGGTTGATTTTCATGATTCCTTGTCTAAGTTGTTGGCAATGTTCCGTAAGTCACAATTCACTGTTATGTTTTGTAAACGTGACATGCGTCACAAGTATTTTCTAACTCGTTTACTACGCTTGCTCCTTGTGTGTAAACAGATTTAACTGCGTACATTTGTTTTTTAAAACCTCGTGTGTGTATTAAATTTATTTGATAAATCCCAAAAGATACTGTTACTCAAACTTTTTGCCGTGATCCACAGCCTCTCTTTGTAGATGAAAGAACAACGTGTTCTGCCACAATCTTGGCCCAATTTGTGTATTCCCGAGATTTCGTTCCACTCCATTATCGAGTATTTTTAATAGCTTTCCCCAGGCCTCATCATCAGATTAAGCACAACTTTCGGTGCTTTTTCTTGCTGCATTGTACGAGGTCGCTCATGTGGATTTGTGCTTAATGGTTAGGTTCCTGTGTCAAATTGTCGCTTCCTACCGTTGTATCTTACCTAACAGCATTTCTGCCCGTCCGAAGTGGTCCAGAGTTCCTGAAGTTATCATGTTTTGCACTCGAGGCAGTCATTTCTAGGTGAAGAAGGGCCTAGCAGACCACACACACACACACCGAAGGAACCAATGAGCTTGCAGTCTTGGCTAATCTTTTAAGGGCAAACCCGCGTTTTCTCTGCTTTTCGATGATAAACTATTTAACAAGAGTATTTCAACCTTTATTGCAAACAACCTGAACTCTTGCTGAAGTTTTCCATTTTGGAAATTTGGATGTCGTTGGGGTCGCTGTCAATTGTCGAAGGGGGGGCGGGTTCGTAGTAGAATTCGATGCGTGTGTCACATGATAGGAGTTTTCCGCCCAGCACTTTGTGTGAAAATTCGGTGAACATTGCCTCGGAGTGGGGTGCCAAGTTTCCCCAATGTTGCTGCAGCAGCCCACACCTTCCCAAGTCAAGCAAGTAACCGAGTGCCTCTGTCGCGTCTGTTACTAATTTTTTTCACTTCTCTGTAATTGTTTCTGGTGACTGGTTTTAACCACACACCCTGGTTTTTGTTACGTCAGCCAGAGTTTACAAGACCGCTGTTTGCGCGTTTGAGTTGTGACGCAACCCATCATTTTTTCGCTTGACCCCTACTCATGGAACTCTCATGGTTGGTCACATTTTACCGAATAACCTTTTCTTTTTAGTAGTTGAAAGCACAGGCATGGGTCGAAACGACCACTAGAGTGAATCATTATTTTGGGCAGCTCCATTATAATTGCAATAAAGCCTCTGAAACGACTTGCCACTTCCGTTTGTTTCCTCCAGATGTCTCGACTTTAAGTATGACCGACCTCACGAACCGGCCTCCATTATCCTCTGCTTTCATAACGAGGCGTGGAGCGTCCTTCTGCGCTCGGTCCACTCAATATTTGATCGATCGAAAGATGAGCTTATCAAAGAAGTTATCCTGGTCGATGACGCTTCTACAATGGGTATGGAGGTTAGATTCTATCATTTTTTGTCGGTTGCATCAGGCCGCCAAACACGTTTAGCAACTGACCCAAGTATTTTTTTCGCTAATGCTAACAACCCCAGCACAATTCATTCATGGAAGCAATTGTATTTTTCCCAGCCAATAAAACTTTTATTTTGCAAATTTGGCATTTAAAATTGAATTTTAATCGCTCTTTGAGTTGAGACTGACCAATGGTAGATGGAGGTCTTGCGCCGTAGTGTACATGCACTCATGAATTAGCAGAAAACCCAGTGTTCGGTCACGTAAATAAAGAATATTTCAAGCAATCAAAGTTCCGAAACACACGGATGATGGTGTGACGGCGTTTGTATTGGTGGGTGATATTCTCTGTGTAAGTTTTTGAGAAGTCTTCAGGAAGTCAATGTTTCGCAGATACGAAATGTGGAACGCATGCCCCATTTAAGCGCACTAGCAAACTTTCGGAGTAATCGATTCCTCCAACTTTGCCGAAACGGTTACTTTTTTCGCAAAAAGTATTTAGCTTTTATGACTAACTTCTTCAGTTAAATTCTGTTCTGAAGAGGTTGGGTGTCTTGTTCTGTCAGGCGCACGTTTCAGCACGTTTTCGACTCCTTAGACTTGGATGCCAGACAACTGAATTAAGCCCACATTGGTTACACACTGCATTTAAAAATATCCACAGGTTGACCGTTTTTCGTAGATTTAAGTGTACTTATCTTTACATGATCGAGAGTTCATAGAATAATAATACTAATAGTGCTTGTTCGGCTCGTCACTGTTTTTGAGTCTGTGGTCAAGCGTAGTCGGGTTGCCGTCAGCAGTGAGTCTTCTGGGTAGACAACGCGGGGTTACAGACAGTCGGCTAGGATGTGTGTTAGACAGTTCGCTACACAGCCATTAAGCCACTCCATTAACCTTTTGCATTTCTAGATCACTTAAAGAGGCCGTTGGAAGTGTACATGAGTGCTTTGGGCAAGGTGAAAATCATTCGGGCGGAGGAGCGACAGGGCCTGATCCGGGCGCGGATGCTCGGGGCCAAGGCTGCCACCGGCAAAGTTCTCATCTTCCTCGACTCCCACATCGAATGCACAACTGGTAGGTGGTCCTGATGGAGGCCTAGCGTATGGTCTTGTGTTGAGTGCCGTCTCTCCGACTAGAAATGCCCCTATCTCTGGCGTTTTTTTCGCCGGGTGTCACTTTTTGCCAGCTCATCGCATGCGCTATAGCACCACGAAACATGTTGCAATGCGTAATTGAAATTTGTCAGTCTGGCGAGATCCAAATTGGACATGTAGGTTTGTGGTGAATTACCTAGTGACCGTTTATTCCAGTATTAAAAACATAAGTTGCCCTTAGCTCACCAGGCCATCTTTGTGGATACGAATCCCAACAGCCACGGCTTATAAGACCTAATTCCTATACAGTTTCCGTCAAACAGCTACTTTCGTTCGCGATTTAACCCTCTCTATTGTATTTGCCTCTTGTCATGGAAGTAGTTTTTGCTCGTAAAGCTGAACAAAGCTATGAAAACGATAGCTGCCCTGCTAACTGATCCCTAACAATCAGTTCAAACTTTAATGAACTTCCGGTAATTTTCCTATGGGCCTTGATAATCGCGCTAGTTTCTGTAAATTACTGGAACTGTGGTACAAATCAGACTTCCTCGAGGATCGCAGATGGCTTTCCTTACCACCATCAAAATGGCTTTCATTGCTCTTTATGCTATTCCCTTCCAAATTATTGTGTTTCTATAGGTGGTATTTTTGATTTTACAATCAATTTGTATTTAAAACGGAAACTATTCATCGCTCAAGTGGAAATTCGTCCTGCTAACAGCTATGATGTTGCAGATGATGTAAAATAGTCAATATCGATTTGGGCTTCTGTGGTGCGTCTCTGGTCATTAAAAAGACCATTTGTTGTTTTCCTTTTATTTTAAATAAAGGTTGGTTGGAGCCGTTATTGGACAGGATAGCGGAAAACAGCACCAACGTCGTTGTCCCTGTGATTGACGTAATCAACTCCGAGACCCTTCAGTACAATCATGCCCCGTCGAAAAGCATCCAAGTTGGTGGCTTCGACTGGAGTCTCATTTACCGCTGGCACCCGATACCCCCGCGCGACGCCATCCGCCCCGGCGCACCCAACTCTCCTGTCAGGTTTGTCTTCGCCAGACCATTCTAACCTGTCAAGCAATCTGCCACCACGGTTTAAGTGTTTTGCATTTAAGATTTCTCTTTTGGACGTCCTGGTGGATGTGACATTTGAAAGAACCACTCGAATGCTCACGAGATGCGGAAGCTTTCTTTAAGAAAACTGTAAGACGGCCGCGTCGTAGTGACGTTTAAGGCTGCAATGTACCCTTAAGTGCTGTATCATACTTTTTTATCGGCTTGCCATTTAGTGAAACCCTAGTCGATGGAAGTAAATGAGGCTGTCGTTCCCAGAGCGCGCTATTTAAAGGCGCAGTAAAGGCATGTCACTTTCTTACCGAAAAATTGCAGAAGGATTCACAGGTGGAAAAGCGAAATTTAACCCAACTTATAGAAATCATTCTGATTGTTGGACAAAGTTGTGACCAATAACAGGTGGGATCCCATGTGTGGTTATAGTATTCTTGATTGATAACCTTCATGCTATCCGACCGGTAAATAATTGTAAAAAAACATTGTAAATAGCACTTTCTCCATGCGGAAATGGCGAAGAAATAAAAATAATACAAATGTCCTGTGGTTTGCCCTGTGTTAATTCTTAAATCACTGCACACTCTGTCTGATAACACGAGATTGTCTTCCTTTTCTGCGGCGGCGGCGACTTATTGTCTTGGAGTAAAGTTTCTTACTTCAGCCCAGTTAGCATTTCAGTCGGTGCTCCTGTCAACATGACTCACACACGGACCTGCTTGAGTCGACGTGTTTGGCCACTTCAATTTAATGCTTTTAGAACGCCAACTATGGCCGGTGGGCTGTTCGCGATTGACGCCTCTTTCTTCGAGAAGCTCGGCTGGTACGACCCAGGCTACGAGGTTTGGGGAGCAGAAAATCTGGAGCTCTCCTTCAAAGTAAGCCGTCCGGTTCCGTACATTATGAGGTGAACCTTGAACTACCCTTGAGCCCATTTCTTTTGGCATTTTGTTGGTTAGCGGTAACTTCATTTCGTGGTCCCAGAATACCTCTCATCAATTTTGCTTTCTCATGTTATACTTTGGATTGTCTGTGTGGTCTACGGTTAGCCAAACAACACGCGCACTTGGTCATAATAGGGTATGTATTCCTTGGTCCACCATGAAGTGTAATTTTGACCTTTGAAGTCCGAATCCAGTGCCCTTACTTAACTTTTGCACAGGTATGAAGCATTACGCCGCTGTGTTTTGAAAGGCGATAGTGTTTGGATCCTAAGAATGTTTGTTTATAGTGTCTCTTCGCCGTATTTTCTACCTTCCTAGACCTGGATGTGCGGAGGGCAGCTCGAGACGATCCCTTGTAGCCATGTGGGTCACATCTTTCGTAGTCGGTCGCCCTACTCTTGGAAGGTCAAGCAAGCCAATCCCCTATTGCACAATCTCCTTCGCCTCGCCGAAGTCGTCCTTGGTGATGAATTCAAGCACTATTACTTTTCTCGAGTCAACTACAGAGAGGTACGTGGGGCATCATATGTCGTCCGTTCGTCCGCAAGAAATCCACCACCAATAATTTCGGGTGACGTTTTTTTCCGAGGCCAGTACAACTAGCTTGGGTCAAAACAGTTTTAATTGAAATTAGCTTGAACTTGACCTTTAATCGGACCTCTGCCGAATGACCCTATTGGCAACAGAGGCGCCTGTTTCGACGCAGTGACAAAACTGAACGAATGTTATGGCGCTTTTAAGCCGGAGTTACCTCAATTGCATGAATGCTTTTGTACGTTGCTGCAAGGTGTGTATGCTTGGTGCGGTCTTCGTAAAGTTTTGAATTCTGAAAAGCTTCTGTTGGCGTCCAACTTTCCACCTGGTATATATTCATCGTCTGAGCGAAATTGGTCTTCGTAACTGTGCGTAGGCTTTGTTCTTCATTGATCGTGTTGCTTGTTGCACACCACCTACGGTGAAATGCGGTAAACATCACTTTTCACACCTGCCACAGCGGCGCTCATAGTGCGCGTAGGTTAACGAAATCGTTGAACTGTGAAGCAAATTAGTCGATCATCATGAGAAGGTTCGCCTGCTTAATCGACTAAATTCTCCAGAAGTAAGGAAACGCCGTGGATACGTCACGCTTTTCGAAAAATCTTGGCTGGCTGATTCCTTACTACCAACTTATGCATGTGTCAGCAAAATAAGTGACCGTGTTCTCTTAGCTATAGCAGCACTACTACTAGCTAGGATGTGGGCTCTTGTTTTGTCGCGATTTTCTGCCGTCGAGCTCTTAATGCGCCACAGTTGAGTACATCAGGCCCTTCGATTTCCACCGCCTCCTGTTAATTCCAAGCCAATGCATTTGTAATAAGGAGATTGTGGTTGATTGACTGTCGGCTTTCGCAGACTACCAGCTACAAAAAGTATCAGCTACTTGATAATACGTGCTTCTTTTAACTGCAGGATGTTGGCAACGTAAGTTCCTTGCTTTGGCTTTTGCGTCAGCCTAATCCTAAAGCTATTTTCACGTCTTCCCAAACATTTGCACAACAAGTGCGGTCTTGCATTCTATTTACGCGACTACATTTGGACTCGATTTGTCCAGTGATCAACATTTTTGGATCTTGCTTTTACTACCTTTCTCCTCGTTTCTTCTTTTTTTAGTCTAGTTTAAGTGTTAATAAGCTTATTCGTGGCTGTTTTGAAAGAACTAACAATTATTTGTGTTTTTCTATCGAATGATTGCAAAAGTTTGCACCCAATTTCCACAGATGGCAGAAACATGCACTTTTGGCTGTGTTGTTTCTTTTACAATCGTAGCATTATTAGACGATTGCATTAATGTGTCTCGTCGGTCACTATAAGCCAAAACGTTTATCCAAATTAATTTGCGTGCGCAGGCTTAATGCTCAGATTGGAGAATCAAGAGCCACATTTTCGTCAGTGTTATGTGAGTGGGTGAGCCACAAAAAGTACAATGAAATACACTCAAGACGATTAGTTTAATCATGATCCTACTCCTGGGGCACTTTACGTACGGTTTTGTCGACTTCAAAGTGGTGATTTTAATCTGGCTAGTGTGTACCTAGTGGAATTACAGAGGTAAACGTTTTTATGAGCTTCTACATTACCAAGCGATAAGTGCAACGAAGGGCTGCTACCAACCCACCCAACTCGGCAAGGCACTGTCTTCCAGCATGACAGCGCTAGATCACATGTCACCCTCTCAAGATGCATGGCAAAAATTAGAGAGTTAAGGTGGGAACTCTTCCAGCACTCCCCATATTCCCCTGAAACCTCGCCCCTTCAGATTTTCATCTGCTTTGTATTCTAAACATTTGAATGGTAAAATTGTTGGATACGTAGAATAAGAAGTACTTTTCGATTTTCTTTAAAGACATCACGCACATTCAACTGCACTGAAATTCAAAAACGTGTAAAACGTTGGGAAGCAGTTATTGGAAATAATGGAGAGCAAATCACTAATTAATAGGTACTATTTTCATCAACTGTTTCATCTTTATTTTGACCTCGTATGGTATAAATCACTTTTACTTTTATTCTTAAATAACCATAGTACGTTTTTACTTTTCATTTTAATGATTTTCCACTGTGCAGTCACACTTTTCAGAACATTAGCTGATTTTGCTTTATGCTCCCTGTTTGAATCAGCGTGTGTGTGTGTGTGTGTGTACACGCCAACATATCTGGCTGAATCGATGTCATTCCATCCCGTGTTGCTGTGTGCTGAGTGCGCCAAACATTGAGCTATTGTGGAGGCATTAATAATTTACGAAACACCATTCAAGGAATTTGCTTGAGTGCTTGAGCCTATAGACAAACATTTCCTGCACCCTCATGGCCTGATGGCGGGTTAATAACAATAGGTTCTAATCCATATCTCTACTCGTGGTCAACTGCCCTTCTGGTTATTTGGCCTTCTTCGTAGTCAAGCCTACCCCTTCAATCTTAACTACTTGTATTTTTCTGTGTCGGTTGCTTTGTAACGGCTTTTCTCGATCTCTTAAGCTTGTTCTAGTGCTAATCCTTTCCAGCTTATTTGTATCATATCACTCGACACCCTGATTTGTCGGCAGGTTCCTCTTAGGGTGTGCCAGTGACGTCACGACATTTTTCCCTTGCAGTCCCAGATGGGTGATGTTTCGGATCGAAAAAAAATATTGAAAGATTTGAATTGCAAGTCCTTCAAGTGGTACCTTGACAACATTTACCCCGAGATGTTTATTCCCAGTGAATCACTCGCATCTGGAGAGGTGGGTTCTTTGTCTCATGTCTTTTGCTTTTGTGTTATGCTTCAAATGTGATCCCCTCAGGCAACAAATATGTGCACTTAATGTACGCTCATATGGGTTCGGTGGACTGACTTCTGGTAACACTAGTAAACATAAGTGCAACATTGTAGCTCTACCTCTCCCACATCAGTCTATTACTAACTGGTGCTTCTTGGTGGCATAAATGTAGCAGGGGTAGGCGAAACATTATTGTGTAGGCGCTCAAGTCGGTACCCCCGATAAGCCTATTGGGTGTTCTCTTGTTGTAGGGTTGAACCACCGATTTGCGCTGAGTAGAATGTGCCTTGGTTACGGTTTTAGTTTATTTAGATAATTGATACCCATTTGAAACTTGCTGCAAGCTTATCTTTACTGATTTGTAGACCATTGCAGTTTTATGTGAGAAAGCACCTACACAATCAGGTCAATCAGGCGATTTTAGTCATAAAAGTGAAGGCAAGCCTTGTCTTCACGGAGAAATGTTGTCTAGATGGTGGTATTATTTAGTTCTTAGCCCGAGGCACGACGCAAATGTGGATGTGCGGTTTTGAGCCATAAATTGACGTCACGATAACCCTCGCATTTGTATTACCTCTCAGATTCGCAACGTGGCTTCACAACACTGTGCAGATGCGCCTGCTAACGAAAAAAAGCAAAAGGTCAGACTGGTAGGCTATCCGTGCCACAACCAAGGTGGTAACCAGGTCAGTCAATCCCTTTACAACATTTTAGGGAATCCCGCAACACCCTGGCACCCATATTTCGTGACACTCTTCCTCGTATGCGCCGTAGTACTGTGGTTCCGTATTACTTTTATCACGAGGTCGAACCAGAGCTACCTGAATGCGAGTCTCCTCAATGCTACAAGTCGTGTCCACGGGAAGTGTATTTAGGATATCCCCATTTTCTGCATATAATGGTTCTGCAAGAAAACTACCGGACTAATTTTACTATCGAGCTGTGCGTCACCTGTTTCCGAAACACTTATTCCTGCTTCAGTCGTAACTTGAACCAAATAGCATAGTTCTGTGTCCCACTCACCAACTTATTTGCTCCTAGTGTAGCAAGTTTATGGGATCGCACACACACACACACACATCAAAAACACTTCTTGATTGCTTGCTTTGTCGCCCTGCGGTTACATCTATCTATCTATCTATCTAAGTGAACTCCAACGCATACTCGTTGAATGAGCCAAACACTGGCAAAGTCAACAGATTTGTCGTCCGTAGTTTATCCTAACAAAAGTTTTTCGCCTAAACTAGCCTCAGGCTCTGGCGATAAGTGACGTGGTCGTAAGACCCTCGGACTACGTATTGTGTGTCAAGTCCTCGGTAGTACTTGTTTCTAGAACGAGGAAATTTAAAGGCGACTCCCTAGATCTGGTTTACGTGTTAGGAAAATCTGCTTTATGAAACGGTTAATGGTATTTTTCCATTATTTAGTTTTGGCTTTTGAGTAAGACTAATGAGATTCGTCGTGACGAATTCTGTCTCGATTCTGGACTCGAACCGCCCTTCCTTTCCGTTGGCATTTGTCATTCTCAAGGTGGCAACCAACGCTTCGAATACAACGAGGTAGTTTGGTTCTCCGTCCATTTTACGAGTTCCTGTAAACCGTTTAAGTCACAAGAACGTAATTTCCAAGGTGTGATTTTTTGTAATGAAGACTTGCTGTTTTGTTACCAGTTTAATCAAACTCTAGTCCACGTATCAGTATATTTCGCTACTCCTTTAGCCTGAATTGTGTTTGGCCAATTTAATTGGTGTGAGGAGGGATCGGAGCTTGTTGGGCGTTTGCATCTAAATTTAGTACACTTAACGATTTTCTGTACGCTTAGTCGATGTGTTAGCTCCACTAAATACCCTTGTTTTTCGCCTTATTTTTTAATAGAAAGATGAAATTGTGCAGAACGGTCGTTGCTTGACCATTAGTGAAGATGGCAAATCAATCACCCTGGATCAATGCAACAACTCGGAAAGGCAAAAGTGGTCAATGAGCAGGAAGCCTTTTAAACCTGGCAAAGAGATGGCCCGATGACTGCATTCCCGTCTTGTCTGTTCAACGACCCTGTGGTTTTGTCCCCTGCTTTTTTTATAAACTGTGATGCCCCTATGCCTTTCAAGTGTGGTCGCCCATGTATCTACCACGATTTAACCTTGTCCACCTGCTGGAGCCTTACTCTTATGCCATTCGGTTATCAATGGCACTTCTACCAGTATTTTTGGAGCTGTGATAACGTTTTGTCTGTTTTTCCTAATCCGATTCTTTTCTTTTTTTTCCTAACCAAACCACACCTGTGCCAAATGCTATCGGGTATGCCTAGACATCGTACTGTTTTCGTTCGGTATGACGTTTTTCTGATTGTCCGCGCATACCCAGCACAAAAAAACTATGTAGTGCCTTATCTCATCGTTTCTTTTCCTATTTTCTCGTTTGTTGCGCAATCTGTGCGTGCATTCACCTTTTCTATGTACCCCTACACGGAAATTTTGGAGGAAAATAAAGCGCTACGCGTGTATTTCCAGATGTGACGACAAGCCGAGGTTGTCTGTCTTTTCGGTAGCATCCCTCTTGAGTGCGTACTTGTAACGAGGTGTCCTCGCGAAACTACCCACATCTTGGCCAGTATTGAATGCGAAAGTAATTACTGTAATTTTGTCACAAAGTTTCACAAAGCACGCGAATGATGTTTCGCTTTAGATTTCGTTAGTAAATGAGTTTAGGCAAACTGGTTAATGTTTGATTGAGAAGAAACAGGATACATCAAAAGGCCTGTCATCGCATATGTTTGTCATTTCACTGTAGCTGAACGGTATATCATTCTTGAGCTTAATCTTTCTGAATGGTTTCAGGTGGGTGCAATGGGAGAAATGATTGCATTGTGCTTTCGATTACTCCAAATAGCATTGCAAAAGCTCACTGACTCCAGCCGCCCATCGGATGTGCCATCTCGTGGTCGACAAGCCTGAACCACAACACACCATGAGATGAGGTGCAGTAAAAGTGCTTCGCAAACGACCTGCAGAAATGAAAGTACCTAAATCGTGTGTTCCAAAATCTAGATTGGCAATGGGCTAATTGCAGCTTTAGGCATTTTTAACCTCATAAAAATCGGTAAAACACATTTCCTCTCTGATGCTTCTCTCGTAATTCAACTGGCTGCTTCATGTAATGTTCTGTTGAAGGCCCAGACATGGTCTCACAACCACACTGAGAAACTAATTCTTTGTTTTTGTTGGTGCTGCTCAATGCGATGCCAAAGTCGACGGAGGCTCAACCGTTTGCTAGGCCGCTGAATCCGGGTGTCTTCAGCCGTGGCTGTTTACGCGTATTCATTCATAAGGTGTGAGCATGAACGGCTGCTACCTGGGCTACCGGTGTGGTCACTTACACAGGTACACGGCGAGTCAGTGACTAATCTAATAAACAGCACCGTTTTACTACTTAACGTCTAGCATGCCTAGAGAGGAAATGGCTAATTTAAGGATAGTCTGTAGATTACAACTTGCAAATTTCAGAGACATTTATGCTAATCGCCGGATTGCTGCATTTTATGATTGAGAAATTCCTTGCTGCATTAAAACAAAAACATTTGTCCATAACACTCTTGTGGGTGCTCAAGGTTACTCTTGATTAATTGATTTCACCCATTCAAGGTAATTCAAAGTGCATGTGGGGAATTTAGTTAACTATGCGACTGAATCGATCTGCTAAAAGCTAATTTTCGCTTTTTCGTCCACCTCCCGAGGGTGTTAACAAGCAAGCCTCATAATTTAGAAAGTCAAAGATTTCTGATAAGGGTGGCAGTTATATTTAAAGTCAAATTGTCAGATGCAAATACAAAATTTCTTGTCTACTTCGAGGTTTCCTGACGGGCAGGCTGTCGTAACTATGAAGAAATTCAATTCATGAAATTTAGATTTTCTCTGTTTCTTTAAACCTTAAAACCCGCTAGTAAACGGCGTAAGCGGCTCCTGTTTAGATACACTAATGGTATAAAGCTTGACTAATTTCACATTCAAGGGAGTTGTTCTCTGTGTGATGTCTCACTGACGCAAGTACGTGGAAAAAACCGTAAAACTCATTTTATGATTCCGTTAATTGCAGCTGCATGTCTACGCCACGATGCACAATTGTGAAAAACCGAAGAATTATATGCTGGGAAGCCTCAAATTTGTCCTTACTAGCGGCTACCAGCACATTCCAGTTTGGTAAAACCCAAATATCTTATAGGGTTGCAGTCGTTTCTTGTGCAAATGCTGTCAATTGCGCCTATTTCTGATAATTAAAAAGTCAAGGTCTTGTAACTAATGACCAAAGAAAAGTTCTTACCTTATTACCCCAACCTTTTATCCTTGAAGTTGGAAATGGGAGCCATACAGCAATCGTTTAGCATCCGAAATAGGCTGTTGCTGGAAGTGCGTTTCTTGGTTGGCTTAATCTCACCCGTGCCAGCCACTCAAATACGATGTTGGGTTCCGGAGTGGAGTGGACTTATTCATTGACCCGGTGAGTGGTATAGGCTGTCACCCTTTAACCACCACTCCAACGCACCACTCCCTAGTGGGGCACTCAGATGTTGTGTCGTCAATAGTCTGTAAAACAACTCCCTCCACAAATGGTGTTGTTTAATTTACCTGGTAGACACAATTTCGTCCATACTAAATGAAAACAATTTTGAACTGTACATGCTTGACGGCAGGCTTCAAAACAGTTCCCACACAAAAATCCGAATTATTTCAGCTCCCATTGATCTGGAACTATCCTTGCTGATCATAAAAGCTGGGTTTCCAGTGGCTTTTTCATTTTTCTTCAAATGAAAATAGCTTTCGCCAAGCAAGCAACAACATTTGAGTTATTTCCTCGTGTCTGAATTTTAACGATCACAGAAACCCGTGGTAGTTTATTTTTGGCTCGAAGAGGCCTTGCAAGCAATATGTCTGACATTATACTGGCCACTTTGTTGTGACTAGCAGCAGTAAAAATCACACTTGGGATTTGACTGGCTGGTTTTTAGGGTAAAGCACTCCCTCACACACACGTTCAAATGCTTACGAAAAGGTAACCAGCCGAATCCCATGAAGAGTGGCTACCCTTTCAGAAAAACAAAATCTGCTTAGATGAAGCATCTGTACTGTTTTCAGTTTTCTTGTCACTTCAGTTAATGTCATTAAAATTTCACTAACACATTACGAAATGCAGTACTGACGTAAATATGTTTCATTTATAGTTTCTTAATTCAGAGTTACTTTTAGTAACGATGTTACTTTAGCAATGTAGTTATTCTCAGTGTATGTAGATTTTGCCACTACTCAAATAACTTTTCTATTTCCATAACACAAAAATGGCTGTTTTCGATATTATAACGACTAATTATCTCTTCTAAAGCGTTATTTGTATGATGCACATCTGAGGCAGTAGGTTGCTAAAAAATCAAATTATACGGAGGGCTTTGGGATTTGGGCCAAATTTGTCTGAAATTTTCTGCATTTCGTTTGCTTTGCCATGGTGTAAAGTGACATTTTTGCCAAATACTTTTTTATGTTTTCTTTTTTACGTTAATACCATTTATAGCTACCATGGCATAAATATAGACAAATGGCGGATTACATGAAAAAAGGTTCAGGAGGAGCTGTAATGCTTTATTGTATTGTGCAATAAAGGTCATATTAGCGAGCTGAAGCGTTGCGCGTGGTCATCATCCGAGTAACCAGAGTAAACAGCCGTGTGTATATTTGTGTAAGCCCAGACGTGCAATTCTCTTCGAACAGGCTTAGACGTGTTTTGCACGTTTCAAAACGGTCACTGTGGCGGGGTAGGAGTCTAGCTCAAGTGACATTAACCCTTAAATGACGCTGGTTGTGTCATTCAAAAAGCCTTTCTACATAGTAACTAACTCCTCAAAAACTTTTTTAAGAGAGCATGCAGTTAGGACAACAATAGAACGTTTAAAGTATTGCAAAATCAATATTACGGACCAAATTACTTGTTACTCCAATTTCACTGGAAGGAATGGCGCGTGTTGGGTCCAAAAATGATGCACTAGTCGCTACCTTGAGTAAGCCAGTGAAAAGCGAACAAAATTTCACACACACACACACACACACTTCACTGGGAACACCGAGAATTGGCAAACCATGGGTTCAATTTGCAGAGCTGGAGAGCTAAAGTGGACAAAGAAACAAAAGTGTTGGGGAAGGTCCGGCCCACTCCTAAGTGTCTTCTCAATCGACAACCATAATGCTCAAATTGGAGATGAAAAAGAGGATCAAATCGTCGGATCTTTTTAATGCAGATAGACATTCAAGCGGGCCACTTAAACAAGCCGATTAATTTGGATTCAACGTTATGGTTGTCAATCATGAGAAATGACCTGGTTCATTTGCCACTTAGCTTGATAGGCCTGATTTATCGCTTACCAGGCAGGCTGGAAATAACTTGATTACTGACATGCCAAGGACTTGATAAAATTGGCTAGAAGACAGGTCCCTTCTCACAGTCAGCGGTGAGAAAGGTGACACATCAGGATGATCTATTGTGGCATTTAATGCAATCTCGCCAGTTCATGGGGCTTAAAGTTTAATTTCCATTGACTGAATTCTGAGTTTTCATGAGGAGGTCACGTGTGTGAATAAAAAGCAGTCATATTGCAAACAATTACTGGTAGGTTTCACATTGTGATTAATCTATAAATTTTGACAGATAATTATGTTGAAAAAGGCACCTTACCTCTGATGGCTAGGGAGAAATTTTGCGGAGATTTTCCACGATCCATGTTTAGATATGATCACAAGGAAAATGACGTATTAAGAATGCCATCCTAAAGCTAATTCTGTGGTTCATTTGTGCCTGGATAACATTCCAATTTTCAAGTTTCTTTGAAGTCAAATTGAGTATCTGTTTGCTTCATGCAATAAAACAAGCACACCAAGTTTTATCAATGAAAGTCTCAAATTAACCATTGGCGGGCTGTTTGATGTTTCTGCGGAAGCAGTCTGCCACGATCACGTTAAGTTCTCCCACTTCACCTGCGCCAA